CAATTTATACATCCAAATTTCAAAGTTCTATTAATTTATTTATTTATATTATTAATTTATTAGTTTTACTATTCAAAAAAATATATTATAAAGAAATTAAGCACTGGAGTTTCTAATCGGGGATGACCGTTACGATATGCTATGCCCTTTCATTGAATCTTCATATTATTTAAGTGGTACTCGAGAATCGAAATAAAATATTCTATCTAAACTGATTTGCATGCTACTACAAATTCTTTTATGTCATTGCGGCCGGTAAAACGCGTTTTCGGCCACAATGACATAAAATAGCATCATAGCCACGGCGAAAAAAGTCATTCTGACTCATGCGCGTTATAATCCTCGTCTCCGACTCGGACTATAAAGTCGCACTCGTCAGATTCCCTTTTTCCGTCCTAGGCATCAAAAATACTATTGTCTTCACTTTATTCACTTCACTTTAAGACCCGCGTAGATCATTTATCGAACGTCATTTTTTGTTTAAATTTGATCATAATAATTTGATCGAATAAATCGAATATTTCTTTCTCACTCCGCGATCGGATTTTCTCAAAAAGCCTATTTCTATTATCTATTCCTACCTCGCATTGCTGTTGCTGTAACGAAACTATCATTATGAGATAACTTTAAAGCTCGTGGGGTATTATGCCTGAAATTCCAATGAATTTCCATGTTGATTTTCAATAATCATTGAATCATTAAGAATATAATCTAAAAATAGGAGCATTATCTTAACGACTTTGTGTATCGCTATATGAGTATCAATTCGTTAGATATTTGTCGAGCGACGCATGGAAAAATTCAACCGTCTAACTTCTGAAAGGCATATCTTCTCGAAAAAATTATCTGTCCCTCGGATTTTGAAATCTTCTCTAATCTAATCTACTCTAGAGACATTTGAAAAGATCTGCAGTTCAAGCTTAATATTCTTGTATTTTTCAATGTTCACAGCAGCTCGAATATTTTTTTCTGAATATTTTCAGTGTTGGATTTTGGGGTTTTCCCCCGGGTTCAAAATTCACTCTTTTAAAGTTTTTATATTTCCGGATTTAGCAAATATTTATTTCTTTCTGCTGTGGGACATTTCCTTTGTGTTATAATAAAAAAGGGGGAAGTCCCGGAAGGACTTTCTCATTGCGGGTTTCTCCGAAAATACATCTAGTGACCAGAGAAGTTCAAGAAAGAAAAATCCAAGGGTTTAGAGTGGAAGGAGAAATTATATTGCCCTCTGGAGAGGAGTTTAACATGGGCCTCACTAGTAATGTTTAGTTACTTCGTTGTAAGTCTTCGTTCAGTAAAGTACCTCTTGACTATCTAGAGTCTTATAATTTTCAATAATAATTCTGTCTTAAAATTCTCCAAGTGTTTATTTATTTCGATCTCCATAATCCAATATTCAGCACGGAAAACGGTCCAAAGGAATTCGTTTCGAATTCCCGGACTCTCAGAGAAACTACACGATACGGAAAATTTTTATTTCAATGAAAATTTCTCCAAAACTAATTAAAAAGCTCAGATCGACCTTTCATCAATCACAAATCAATCAATCTAATTCTGTTCTTCCTCTCATGATTATCACCCAGTATTTAATGGTTTTTTAAATCCAAAGAAGGAATACAAATTTTTTT